CCCATAAGCTCGGGTTGGCAGGGCTCCTTCGAAAGGCTAAAGACGTTCCTCCGAAACCGAGAGCAATGAAACGCCACGTTCCTATCGGGTTTCTAGGAGTTAAGCACCGAGTTGGAGACGTGAAGGATCTTCTGGACAATAGAAAAAACCCGACCTCGGCACCAACGCGCGATACACTACGGAGCGGATCCAACAATCAATTCATTATCGAAGCACCAACGGCGAGGGCAGCAAGAGGGACAAGTAACCAGCCGTCGTCGTCGTCGCCGCGGCCGCGCGCGCTCCCGCTCCCGCCGCTTATCGGCTCTCAGAAGCCGCCATGACGCCGAGAGAGCGAGAGCGCAACCGTCTCGGTCGTAGCCGTCTCCGCCGCCACTGCCACCGAGGTCGCCGTCGCCTCCGCCTCCCGCGCGACGTAAGCTCCGCGGCTCACTCCCCTTCCTCACTCAGCGCGAGGCAAGCTGGCGGGCGAGCGGGCCCGAGCACGTCGAACCCTCCGAGCGGCGCGCGGGCGGTGGGAGGGGCTACGTTGTGGAGTCGTAGGGCGTAGGAAGCAAGCGATTGGCCCCGAGTCCGGGCGGCGTGCGAGTACGCGCACGCGCGCGGGTGGGAGCGCGCACGCCGACTACGCGGAGGCCGCCGGACTCTGACCACGGCCGTGGGCCGCGGATCTTGGACTGGGCGCCCTCCCCTTAGCGGCCTTGAGTTGAGTTCCGGGAAGTGGGAGCCGCAGGCTCGCTCCGTGCGGGTATGGACGCTATTCGGGACCGTTGCGCCAGGATGTCGAGGCTGAGAGACTGAGAAGGAAAGAGGAAGCGGAGGGGTGGGGAGGTACAGAAGACTATGATGGGGTTTGGGTAGCCGCGAAAGGTTCGCGCTGGGTTAGTCAAGGGTCTGGGTCGAGCGTGGGGTCCGGTCGCCCGGGCCTCGGCCGGGGCTGAGCGCCTGTCGGGAGGCATGGGGCCGGGGCCGCTGCGTCACACCAGGCAGCCTGGGAACGCAACTGGGGCCCCCTCCCGCCGCCCCTGCGCCTAGGCGACCTGCCGCTGGGGCTCCCCCGGGGGCCTAGCGCTCCGCGTGGGCGGGGCCGCACCTGGGATGACGGAGGGAACATAGAGACCGAGTTGTTGACATCCGGTGCCGCTTCTTGATTTCATTTTTGGGGCAGTCGAGCCCGGCTCAGGAAAAAACAAAAAAAGAGGACAACTTTTACAGCCTTTCTAGGTTCCTTCCCTGGAAGGCGGGGTGGAGGGTGCGGTTCAGAATCGCAACAAAAAAAGCAATTTGTAGGACGTTAGTAACTGTCTCAGCTGAAGGTGCTGCAATTTAGTTGACGGTTTCTTTCATAACTGTAACCGCGGGCCTCGGATACAATCCTTTAGGTGAGTCGTAGGGAACTTTGCAAGCATGGCGGTGTCCTGATTCACTCTTAGAAAAAAAAATATTTTTAAATAAAAAATAGTTTACACTTCATTAGTTTTCTGCTCCACATCGATCTTGAATCACTCGGAAGTTAATTTTTGAAACTTTCCAATCCCATTCTTCAGTTATTTGATTTGATGTAAAGGCCCACCTTCCATGAGTTTGAATGTGATGACTGCATTTCCAAAGTAATTCGTTGTGTGGGACATAGTCAACTTTTATAAACAGTTTGGTTCAAAGCCTTCAGAAAGATCTCAAAACCTAACGCCAAATATGTGTTCTGTGTATGGAAGGGTACCTTCATCTTCACCCTTGGGGCGCAGGGAAAGGCAAAAAGGTACACATGGTCTTCTCGAAAAAATGTATGTCTGATCAATAAATAGTGAAACAAAGTGAAACACTACTGTACTTTGTAAAATTATCTGCATTCAGCCTCTTGTTTTATTCCTTCCCCCCTAGTTATCAAATAGCTATAATGCTGGGTTGTGAGGAATAACTCCATCTCTCAAGTAGCTGAGTGCTAATTTTTAATATTATGTTTTTAAAATGTGATAAAGGTGACTTAATGATAGGAACTTTCTGTGCTTCCTACTGATTTCTTTCTTGGATTACTAGAGTGGTAAGTAAAAAAAAAACAAAAGGCCCCCAAAAGCAGTAACCATGGCTGATAACGAATTTTGTAATCAGAAGTATTAATCAGATAAAGTCTCTAAACATAACTTAGTAGTATACTACACTTCTATCATTACTGTATAGGCATAATCTGTATGTTTTCTGAAAGCACATCAAATCTTTTTAAACTGATTTGCCATTTGGATTTGATATGCTGCATATATACATATGTGATGCTTGGAGATTTATATAACTGGCAAAGTCCTAATATACTTATGACTCCACAGAAGTTTATTTTTTTTTCTTTTTAACTTTTTTCTTTTTACTGAATTTATTGGGGTGACACTGGTACAGAATTTTCTGATGACTCTTGACAATGTGGATAAATACAAGGTAAGTGAAAAACTATAACAATTTTTTTCTTAACCGTTTGTTATCTGCACAGTTAAATTCTCAGTTTCACTTTGTTTGAATAAAGTGTCTCAACCTGTTGGTACTGAAAACAATTAAAAAACTGTTGATAATCTCAATGCATCACTTTTAAAAAAAATCCCTGAAAATTAACATCAATCAGGAGGTCTTTATTACTATCTGATTTTCCATTTGATAAATTTTTTATTCTTTAAAAAGATTACTTTTACAGAATCGAGGACAGCATTTTGTGGGTCTTTAATTCTGGGATGCTTTACTAGGACTAGTTACCAGTGAGTAGGT